GAATATACTTGACCCCATGTGCAAACGGCTGTAAATGCTTGAGCATCAGTGACTTTAGGGTTTTGTTAAAAAAAAAAGGGTCGAAGGTTGAACTAATTAGTAGGAATTATCTAAAACGCCCTTTATTAAATGACCATGTGAGGATCGCATGTCTAATTCTGCTAGGACTTTAACAGTTTTTGTGATGGAAGGACTAAAATGAGACAAGTTGTATAGTTTGAGGTTGTAATTTGTAACATTTTAAAGTTCAGGGGCCAAAATGAGACAACTTGCATATTTTGGGGGCCAAAAGTGAAATCAACCCTTTGTTTTTTCTCTGTGTTTGACAAAGACATCAATGAACTGGAAGAAAAACTTCAAGAAAAGATCGTTGTGAAGGATTCCAATATTTCTCTATTTCATGGGTATTCATATAATTTGGATTATAATTCTTGGATGGTTATTTGAACACTTTAGGTCTCGTTCATTTCATCAATTTGAGTTTTTAATTTTAATTTTACTACAGTTAAAAATTATCACAAAAAGTCACATCTAACTTTTTATTACAGTGAAAAACTTTCACATAAAATGACATCTCAACTCGAATTCGCGAACTGAATTAGACCTTAATTTTTTGTGAATACAGTGAAGAAATAGTTTGCCGATGAAATGTGATATATATATTTTTTTGCTGTGAATGAGATGTATTTTTTATACAATGGACTATATGAGATCGTTGTTGCAGTTCAAAATTTGAAGGGAGGGAAGGTGTACCGTACGCATGATTTTTTCATCCCGGTTTCATCTCCGGGAGGATGACCTTTCACATTCTTTAATGGATTTGTATTTTTAATTAATTATAAAACAGAAAAAGATAACTACAGTCACTCCGTTGAGACGTTAGCTACACCTCACTTTTTTCATAATTCGTGCAGCTGCCAAGTCATACGTGGGGAGTTCCAATATGAGGGTGGATTCTTGTAAATAAATATGAAAAAAAAAAAAAAAAAAAAAGAGTTTTAAGTAAGTGAATTTTGTAGAGAAAGTTAGGCGCACTACAACTACCCCTGAATGTCAGCACTTTGGAAAACGACAATAACTTCAATTCTACGTTGTTGATATGGTCATGATGTGATTTACTTGTTCTTTTGTGGTTACGAATAGAAGCCAAGCTGTGTGCAGATTCATGAGCATGAAGGAATCAGAATCTTGAAGAATTGGATTGGAATTGGAGGAGTTGGAGAAAAGGGGAGATAGAGAGAGCCGTAAGAACACTGATGTTGAACGATGAAGGGAGGGAAGGATATGAGGAACAGAGCCAATGAATTAAAGGAAAAATATTGAGGCTTGTACAAGGGAAGGTAAGTTCGTCCTTTAATTCCTTGAATGAGCTTGTAAATTTTAACATGTTAATTTAGACATCTTTCTTCACACTTGCGTGCGTAACTATGGACATTTCACGCTTTGTAATATGGCGATGCCCTTAATACTCAGCCAAACACTTGCGTAATACCTACCTGAGAAAATGAATTTTGTTTCCCTTTTTCCTAATAATGCTTTTACCAAAATCAGAATTGTCTTTGAGAAAATGAATTTGTTTACTTTTTGCCTTGCCTCCCAAAATTTTTCGTTTATTTTTTGGTGTGACTCAAGAAACGGCATCCTTCGATATAAACAACAGTGGACCTAACGTACGATAACAAAGGTAAACGACAGCAATTTAGCAAACGACAACTGAATGTAAAAACACCAATATAAGAAACATGTGAAGAAAATGGTAAACGGCACCCTTCGATATAAACAACACGAGACCTAACATATGATAACAAAGGTAAACGACAACTTTAAGTTTATAAAGAAACATGTGCAGAAAAAACTTCATGTGAACGACAGCCAAATGTGAACGACATAATTTCTCGCAGATGACAAGGACTTTGAAACATGCAAACGGCAATCAACTATAAATTACGGCTGTTCTTAGAAAATAAGAACAATCGTAAAACGGCGCTATAATCACATTGAAAATATGCAGAACAAGAACTACAGTCATTCGCGCAACTTGGGACATAATGTCTTAATTAACCACTGTTAGATGTATTGTTTGGTCCGTTTCAAGGAAAAACCAATCACCAAAATAAAGATTTTTTTTTTGTTTAAAAGTAAAACAGATTTATTAATCAGGCCGAGACAGAAGATTCAATAGCCATAATCTCTGAAATACAAGACGGAACCTTTTCCCACCAAAATTGGTCACAAGCATTAGAAAACACACTACGAGCAAGCGTGTGGGCTGCCGCATTTCTGAACCGAGAAACATGGCATGGCAGCAAGAACCACCGTCCCCTCTATCCAACAGAAATACAATATCTTCAACAATTGAACCAAACGTAGATAGCAGATCTCTGTCTCTAATTCTACTAACTGCATTAATGGAGTCACATTCAATGTCAGACACGTTAAGCCCATGCTGCACTTCAAAAAAGGAGACCCTCCCGAATGGCCAAGCATTCAGCCGTAGTCGAGTCAAACTTCCCCGGAACCTTGCTGGCAAACGCACCATGAACAAATCTAGCGTGGTCCCGAATCAGTCCTCCGAGGCCCACAGAATGACATAGGCGTCCACATTTAGTTTCAGCCGTCCCGGAGAAGGCGGAATGCACCGACGATCCCCTGCAACCTGCTCTCTTACCGACACCTCCAAACTAAGCCGGCACTTCTTAAAAAAACTGTCAGCCAATTACTGCTAATCTCCAAAAGTTTAGCACGTAGGGAGATCCGTCCATCATGATTCATGAACCCACGTATTCCTGTTTCTCCAGACCAGCCAAATGATCATACTAAGGAGTTCTAAATGATCGGAGTCAAGGACACTACGAAGAGTTGAAAGCATAGCAGTAATCAAAGCTAAGGAATAATAATAATAATAATAATAATAAGATTATTAGTAGTATTCTCACGCCCCCAACCAACGTTTATTTTAGTCTAAATTGATTAAAAGAATTCAACCATATCACACATAGGAATAGGTTGCGTAATGGGGTTAGGTTTAGATAATTTAGGCATATTGTCAAGTTAATACGTCGATACTGAATTTTAATTTACCCTAACCTATGTCTTAAAGAAAATGAAAAAAGTAGGAGCTTTTTTTTTTTTTTTTTTTTTTTTTAAAGTTAAAAAAAGTAGGAGTTGAGAGCCTAGCTAATCAGACAATATTTATACATTGACAAATGATATTCATCATCAGACTGATGATCATAATTGTTTTTTAACTAATGCAAGATTATGTGAGTTCCTGTATCATTGAGGTGTAAATCTATAATAATCCAAATGTGTGACGATTTTATTGATGCAATAAATATAATGTGTTATAATTTACATTATACTATAATTACTATATGCAACTTTTGGTGTATGGCAGTTATTGATAGAGACAGTATGCCGCCTTTCATGTTCTGAGATATCAACTAAAGATCAGTATTTTTCAAGGGCAAACTAAAGTCTTAAGAAAATTAAAAAGAAAGAAATAGGTGCTTTCCAGATAAGATGGTATAGATAACTTGAAAAATGCTATTTTATCATCAGCATTCAGCAGTGACGATTACCATTGATTTTTCTAACTAATTACAGATTAGAGATGACGTGTAAATTGCCTAAGTTCTTGTGTTGATTTATGGACACAAAAAATTGACTCGTGATAACGTGATTTTCTGATATTAAAAAATATATCATTTGACGTTTAAGTAATACCCACCATTACCATTTGACGTATTCCTATTCTTCGCAAGTTATTCGAGATTGACCAGTGTACATACAAGTCAACCCTAATGAGGTCGAAAAAGCTCCAGTATTCATCTCACCCTAATGAAAATCCAGCAGTTCTGTCGGTCAAAAAGTTTGACTTTCACTTTTTAACTCTGTTCATTACGTATATGCATTCGTCATTCAGCTTATTTACGAGATGTTTATTTTAAGAGTTCGTTTTTAATTCTGAATTATAGTTCTTAATTTTTTATAATATTTTTCTCTCATAAAAATTTAAATTTTAAAAATCAGAATTATAAATAATGATTTTAAATTTATAAACTAAACACGGTTCTTTAATAATATTTAAAGCAGTATTTACTTTTGTGGACCACCCACAAATGGATGTGGTCTATCCTTCTCATTCTCTCCTCTGGTACTGTTGGCACCTTCTTTTTTTTTTTTTTTTAGGGAAAACAAATTGCTACATATATGTTAACACTAATTTGTAACCAATAATATTCATTACTAAATTAATAAATTACATAAATAGTCGCAAATGACCACAAACTATCAAAAATTTCGACTATGGATATTGACTGGATCCACTAGTGAAAATGGATAAAAAATTGTACATATTAAGGGAAAAAAGCAGTTTCATAACATATCGTAAAACTAAAATATAACTTGTTACACGTTACAAAAATCTAAAACACAACAATAATTTTTTAGGAGTTTTTATGGTAGTCCCTGTAAAAATAGGACTAGTGGTGTTCTTTACTTTTTAAGCGTCAGATATGTATCAGAATTTATTTGTTCTGCATATTTTTTCAATCTTATGCGATTTTGACCATATCTACCGGTCGAAAATTGAAACTACCCGTGGGGAAGGATTACCGGGGAAACTCTCTAATCTTTGTTTAAAAGTTTTTACAGCATTTTGACAATATAACACCATTAATTTCTAACCAATCACATCATATGCTTAATTAAGAGACGTACAATGCTTAATATAAGAGACGTACATATTATGACACAACGGAGGGATAATCTAAAATGATAACGTACATATTATGACACAACGGAGGGATAATCTATAATGATAACTTTTAAATTGTTTAATTAGTATATTTATTGGAGGAGAAAGGAAATTGCCACTCTTGGCAGCCTCTATTGTCAACTACTGGCATAAAGGATTTAATTAATCTCTTGTGTCTCTATAATCTATATAAACCAACTGGCAGCCAAACTATCCTGAATAAGCTACAACATAACTTTTCTTTATGTGAGTGAGAAAACAAGAGAGATGGGAAAACAATTACAGAGAAGTCATCGCTTGGTCCTCGTCCCTTGTCCATATGAAGGTCACTTGAATCCAATGCTTCAACTTGGCACAGTTCTTCACTTCAAAGGTTTCTCTATAACAGTTGCTCACACCATTTACAACTCTCCAAATCCTCACAACCTCCCTGATTTCAGCTTCCTTCCCATGCCAGACGGCTTATCAGACCGTGGTGTAACGTCTATGGATGTAGTAGGTGATGTTCTGGCGGTTAATGAGAATTGCAGAGAGATCTTCCAACGATCCTTGGAAAAACTTAAAGAGACACAAGGTGAGATAATCAGTTGCATAATTTCAGATGAACTCATGTTCTTCGCAGAAGATGTGGCCAACAATCTGAAGATTCCGAGCATCATCTTGCGCACTACTAACGCTGCTACTTCCTTTGCTCGCTCTGGCCTTGTTAAACTCAAGGAAAAAGGTCTTCTCTCCCAGGGTAAGGAATATATTCTGCAAAGTAGTATATATATATATGTGTGTGTGTGTGTGTATATGTATGTATTATATATCGGTCTTTTTGTTGTTTTTCTTGGTGCGTGTTTTGCTATGTTCCTTGCATGTGTCATGAGCTATGAAATTTCTAGTATAAATGAGATCAAATGAAAAGCCATAATTTCCAATCCTGAGCGGTTAATTCACTTCATTTGCATAATGGAAAAGTACGTTTTTGTATCAAATTGAGAATTTCTTCATATTACTAATAATGATATTGCTGCAGATACTCTCTCAAACGAGCTTGTACCAGAGCTATATCCGCTGAGGTTCAAGGATCTGCTCTTTTCCTTGTCAGAAACACTCGAAAACTTTTCAGCAATAGTCACTAAGATATACGGCAAACGGGCGTCTTCAGCCATAATATGGAACACCGTGAGTTGCCTTGAACAAGCAACTCTAGAGCAAATCCAACAACAATGTAAAGTTCCAATCTTCCCTGTAGGTCCCATTCACATGATAGCGGCGTCGAATTCTAGTAGCCTAATCGAAGAGGACAGAAGCTGCTTATCGTGGCTTGACAAGCAACCGCATAACTCCGTTATTTATGTGAGCAACTTGGGAAGCTTAGCGTCTGTCAATGAGAAGGAAGTAACTGAAATCGCGTGGGGACTAGCCAACAGCAACCAGCCCTTCTTGTGGGTGATTAGACCCGGTTCGGTTCACAGTTCGGATTGGATTGAGCTGTTGCCGAAAGGTTTCCAAGACGATGTTGGGGATAAGGGATGCATTGTGAGATGGGCACCCCAAAGGGAAGTCTTGGCTCATCCTGCTGTGGGAGGGTTTTGGAGCCATTGCGGTTGGAATTCGACTCTTGAGAGTTTAGCCGCCGGAGTTCCAATAATATGTAAACCATGTTTTGGTGATCAAAAAGTGAATGCAAGGTATGTGAGCCATGTGTGGAGAATTGGATTGGAATTGGAGGAGTTGAAGAGAAGGGACATAGAGAGTGCTATAAGAAGACTGATTTTGCATGAGGATGGGAAGGAAATGAGAGCCAGAGCAAAGGAACTGAAGGAGAAATTTGAGGTTTGTACGAGGAAAGGTGGTTCTTCCTGTGATTCCTTGAACGAGCTTGTCAACTTCATCATGTCATTTGGTACAAGGACGCATTTGGTTTCTTGACAAAAGAGAAAAGAAAATTTATTGATAAAATGGATTTAGTTTTCCCAGCGTGATCAATTTCCTTGTCTAGGAAAAAAAAGAAAAATCTGATGAATTTAGTTTAGTTTTTTTTTTTTTTTTTTTGTGAAATATTTTATTGATTTTTTTGTCTTTGTCATTTCTTTATCTTCTATTATTAAACAAGGTCAAACTAAAAAAAGAGGGAAAAAATAATGTTATATATCCCCTGATTATTCATCGGTTTTGATACTCACATATTATTATCAAGGACCGGATTCAAATAAATTATAACTTGGAACACGGAATTAAAAAGGCAGGTTGGTCTACAGTCTACTAGCTAAAAAACATTGGCGCGTAATATATTTCCCCTTTTTTTTTTTTGATAATTTAATACATTTCCCTTTTTGTTCCGCTAACTAGCAAAACGCACATTTAAAATAAATAAATAAATAAGACTTCTCTAATTGCTTCTAGCGCTTGAATACCAAATGTGTACGTAGAAAAACTACGTCGTTATAATAAGCATGTGGAACAAATGTGACTGCTCATTGTGAAGGGAATGTGCTTTTCTACGAATCTACGAAAGAAAACAAGAACAAAAAGTACCAAATAAACTTTAAACCTAATAAAAGTAGAGACATAACAACGCATAAACAAACACAGTACCAAATAAACTTTAAACCTAATAAAAGTAGAGACATAACGGACGCGTAAACAAACACGTCAAAATTCGTTGATTCAAGAAGAATATTAAAATTATGCAAGATATTTATTAAACTTTCAAAGGATTTTATTAATAGAACTAAACTAAATAACAAATAACATAGAGACAGAGAATCCTAAGCCGTGTTTGGAATTGATTCTGTTTTTGTTTTTTCACGTTTTTTGAGAAAAAAATAAAAAAGTTTTTAAAATAGCGTTTGGTGCAATAAAAACAAAAAATGGAAATGAAAACGATTTTTTGATTTGGTGTAAAACGAGAGAGAAATGAAAAATGATTTTTAGTCATTTTTCATTTTCTCCTCTCTCGAGGAGAGAGAGAGACATTAATGGATTTTTTATATTGAAAACAATCTCTTAATAAAACTATCAACATTTTCAAAAATGATTTATGTCTGAGATTAAAAACGTTTTCATTTTCATTTTCATATAAAAAATAAAATTATTTTTAAACGAATTCTAAATGCGCCCCTAGTTTCCTAATTCTAATAATAAAGATATCCAATCATTATCACGTTGGATAATAGTTTTATTAAAAATCAAACTTCCTAGATATAAACACTAAAATTAAGATAATCTAAGATAATCCCCATCATTTTCGCTGCATCAAATAGAAAAACCTAAAAAAAAAAAGAAAAAAACTCAATGGGGACTAAGGTATTGAGAACATTGTGCTTTGATGAACGGAGGAGGGTAGAACAGATCTAGAATCAGAGGAGGAAAATTGCTCAAACAACCATCTACCAGTGCTGCTGCGAAGCTGCAACAAGCTGGTCCTGGAGTGAGAATTCCCTTTGTTATTTGTTCTAAACCTTCCTCCAAGCATGGAATCCCCTTGGTGCCTAAATCATTGGCTGAAAAACAACTTGTAATTTCTTTTGCCGTTGGTGGATTTAGCCACTTGGGCAGCTTCAGCATGGTGCCTTGCCCAATTGGAGCAGGCAATGAATGGGCCTCTTGTGAAACAGACAACTAAGCAAAGGACGATCAATAGTATAACACTGGTGTTCTTTATTTTAAGTTTTAGGGGATGTTTGTTTTTGTATTCGTTTTTTATTCTAAATCATAATTTATGATTTTTTACAGTGTTTTTCTCTCACAAAAAACATACGTAAAATGAGAATAATTTTAAATTATGATTCTGAATCTATAAACCAAACGTCTACTTAATTTTTTCACGTTTACTCTTTAAGCCTTTGTCGGGTGTGTTGTGCACACTGTGTTCTTCTGCTGAAGATTAGGGAGAAAATCACGATGAGTTGCTGGATGAGAATGTAAATGTTTACTATTATTATTATTATTATTGGGAAGAAAATTTTATTATACACAATATTATTATTGGGAAGAAAATTGTAGTTATATTTTGAAAAAAAAAAGTCTGTTTATTTAGAAAAAAGGACTTTAGTTCATCGTGATTTTCTCCCTTTTGCATGGTCCAATGAAAAAAAAAATCGTAATTTTCTAACTAATAATAATTTTCTAATAACAAATAAACATTTACTAGATATTTATATTTGCATTGCACTCTAAATGTTTTATCTATTATTTATTATTATTATTATTAGTATTACTATTGCTTTTAGATAAAGAACACTAAAATAATATAGAGAATCAAAAACTATAATTCTAAAGCATAAACAAACTCTTAAAATAAACATTCATACATTCTATAAATGTTTATTTATAGGTAACGTAGAGAAATACTTTTATTTATATTGTCGCTGTGTTCACTTTGTTTTGGGCGATTTCAGGGCCTATGGACCCACCCAGCCCAATCTCAAAACCCCAGAGTCCATCCGGCCTAGTTTCTATTTGGGCTTAAGCTCGAACAGGTCCAGACATTTCCGGAAAGAGTACCAGAATTCAGGAAGTTGCAGGAAAGTTCGAAAAGAAGGCGCCAAGATTTTTCTTGAGAGTACTAGAGTCTCCCTCTCCTCCTTATAAATACCAATCCTGTCCCAAAGATCATAGCACCAAGAATTAGGGAAAAAAAAAAAAAAAAAAACCCAACAGAAACTTCATAATCAACAAAACACTTCCAATAATTTCCTTTTTTTAGTCTCCAATAAATCTTCAATCTTCACCAAAAATGTCGCTAATTCCAAGCTTCTTGGGCGGCCGACGAAGCAGAAGCGTCTTCGACCCCTTCTCCCTTGACATCTGGGACCCGTTCAAGGACTTTCCCGTTCATTTTCCCTCTGAACTTTCCCGGGAAAATTCAGCATTCGCAAGCGCTCAGATCGACTGGAAGGAGACTCCGGAGGCGCACGTGTTCCAGGCCGATCTTCCGGGGCTGAAGAAGGAGGAAGTGAAGGTGGAGGTGGAGGACGATCGCGTGCTTCAGATCAGCGGAGAGAGGAAGGTCGAGAAGGAAGACAAGAACGACACGTGGCATCGGATCGAGCGGAGCAGCGGACGATTGCAGAGAAGGTTTAGGCTGCCGGAGAATGTGAAGATGGATCAGATCAAGGCTTCAATGGAGAATGGAATTCTCACTGTCACTGTTCCAAAGGCAGAGGTGAAAAAGCCTGATGTTAAAGCCATTGAAATCTCTGGTTGATTTGTCGTAATTGTTGGTTTATTGGATTATCTGCTTTGTAAATGTGTGAAAGAAGATATGTTGCTTACTGATAAACATCCCTGTAAATGTTTGTTACGTTGTGGCTGTCCTTGCGTAATGATGATTATTGGTTGATTTTTAAGATTATTATTGTAATGGTTTATTGCAATGGTATCGAATAAATTACCTGTATTAATAGACTTGGTTTAGTAAAACTACGACAAAATAAGCTAAATCCAATCTAAATTCGTGCATCAAGCTTCGATGTTCGTACAAGTCCTGACCCAATGCTTTGGTTATGGTGTTCTCTACCTTAAAAGAATGTCTACTAGTAATTTGATTCAAACGATAAAATATTCGGTCGTGGAGGAGGAACTTTTTTTTTTTTTTAATCGAATTTCAGTAGGAAGTATATGATGAGGAATTTGTAAGAGCACTTTTTATTTAATTTTGCTAATTAGTATGATTTTAAACGGACTTGGTCAACACTCCCTTTGGCGGCGTCCCCTTACTCGAAATTTAGAGAGAAAGTTAATGAGTGAGGCTCTGATAAAGAAAAAAAGTTTCAGTGTTTGGTTGGAGCTCCGCCACCGCCTCCGGGCGCGTCGTCTTGCTTCCGGCCTTTTGATGGCGGCTTTCTTGTGATGGTAGTTGTGTATGGAGCGGCACATCTGGTGAGAGCGGATCTGTAAGATGGTGAGATTCTCTTGGAGTTGGTGTTTATTTTCTTCTTCGGTAGCTGGAGTGTTCATGGCTAATATCCCCTCTATTTTGCCGTGATCCTCCCACAATCTTCTACCTCCTTCGGGTGTACTTTCTTTTTGGGATGGCTCCACTCTGATCGGGCTTCTATTCCAGGGCCGATGGCTTACAGCCAGTAGATCTTTCTTTTGTTTAGTGGTAATAAGGGCGTTGATATTTCCGTCTATTTGGTGTGTTTTTTTTTTTTTTTGTTTCACTTTAGTGTTTTTTTTTTATAATAACGGAGGCGATGTCCTCTACTTGTGTCCCCCACCCATTTAAAAATGGTGTGGTGTATGTTTTCTAGTTAGAGTTCCTTTTATGTCGTGGTGTGATTGTCCCCATTACGTGAGGTTTGGTCTCGATCGACTGGGCTAGTCCATCGATTGTTTCGGTGTTGTTTAAAGCGTAATGGTCAAGCTCGGTGTTTATGTGCCGAGTGAGTTTTTTTTCCATTTGAGTCTCGGTACTTATATTCACATTTATATTATTTTAGTCTTTACTTATAGATCCAATCATTGTTTCGGGGTTGAATTCTTTTGTAATTGGAGTCATTTGTTTGTATCTTTATGTTATTTGTTTCTTATGAAATGAAATGTCCCCTAAAAAAAATAACTAGATTGACGTTTTCGGGATGCCCCTAATCAATGAATGTCAAGTGAATGGCAAGTAATTTTTCCTTATATGGATCCTATTTGTACACATCTTGCTTTTAAAGCTGGTTATCATAGCTTGACAAGGAACCCCACAATTTGGTTATCTATGTAAGCAGCTCCGGAAGCATAACAACAATCATGAGAATAGGATTATAGAAGTAGCTGAAATCGCATAGGGACTAGCCAAAAACAAGCAATTCTCTTGTGGCTAATTTGACAACATGGTTCTATTCGTGGCTCGAATTGCGCTGTTGCCAAGTGGGTCTCCAAAATATTGTTGGGATGAGGGATGCATTGAGAGATGGGCACCCCAAAGTGAAGTCTTGACGCATCCTGCTCGGGAGGATTGTGGAGCAATTGTGATTGAAAATCAGCTTTTGAGAGTATAGCTGTAGGCGTTCCAATATTATAAGCGTGTTTAGAACTCGTTCTAAAATGATTTTATTTTTTGACATTCAACTTCAAAAGGGGTAATTATAGCATCCAGAAGTAGATGGAATTGATCTATAATCACTATTTTAATTTTCAAATGAAAAAATAAATTAGTTGATATCTTCTTAATAATTGTAATTTCATCCGTCCTTAAAAACGAAGAGAAATTAATTAAAGCATGGAAAAAGGATAGGGTATTTATCAAATCGTTTAATTAAAAAAAAAATTAAGAGAGTGCATGAGTGGTGATGATCATAGTACCTTTAAATATATTTTAGTTTTTTCTTTTAATTCGGATGCAGAATGAGGATAATATAGATTGGCAATTTACTTCATCCTTTCGTTTTAACTCCTTTTTTTTTTTTTTTAAATGTTCTTTTGAAAATTTAAAAGTTTTTATGGCTGTGGGTGGTAATATATGGCGGTGATGAATAAGAGGGCAAAAACGTTTATTCAAGAGATGACAAACATATCCCTCAAAAAATTTAAAGAGAGATAATAAACATCACTTTAATTATCATCTTTACATGTGAATGGTGATAAACTAAATGCTTCTTTTTCATTCCGTACAGTTTCATTCTTTTCTAATTTTAGAATGTATTATTATGCATTGATTATAATTTTAGAATGTACCCTATGGAAGTGTTAATTAAGATGTTGTGCTTATTAAAGTCCTGGGCTTTCCTTAAGAACCTGACTTTTTGACTTTTTCCTATTCGTTACCTACTAGGCAAATTATTCTCTGTATAAGTTTTATCCTCCATCACCCAAGTGTCTCTCTTTTTATTTGTTTACGTTCTTCTTCTGTGTAATTTCCTTTTCTTTTTCTTCCCTTCCCTCTCTCTTTTTTCATTTTTTCTCTTTTTATTCCTATCCAATTCCTACGAACCCACAATCTCACTTATTTTTTTTTTATTTTCCATCTCATCTCGTTTGTTATCATTTGGTTCTCCTAACTTTATTTCTCCATCCTTAATCTTATATAAAAAATTTAGTTGCTCTCCGCCAATATTTATTTGCTTCAATTACCACAATTAATGTATTAATATATACAAACTTATGCTTTTTGGTAAAATATTTTAGAGATTTATGAGCTTTTATTTGAGGAGATTCGTTTTAATGTGTATATGCACATGATATTGCTTTAGAATTTGCATTACAAATTTAATAAGTTTTTACTTTATTTTTCTACTAGTTTATGTTATAATTTTTATTTTTCTACTAGTTTATGTTATAATTTTGCTCTTAATTGTGGCCCACTAAATTCAAATCCTGACTTCGCCACTGATTATTTTATTAAAATATATATTTTTTAGCTAAATCATACCTAACATGTTAATATTTATGGACAAAAATTTCATCGACACTGAAATTTTGGATTTTTGAGGGCCCTGAAATGTTTTTCCACTATAATATCGATATCGGCAAAAGATCAGAAATACTGGTAAATATTGGCCGAACCATTGATATCGGTTTGCATATAGAGAAATTGGGGCAGAATATAGGGACATTTCAGAGAAATTTTGGTGAAATTTTGGTGATATTAGAATTGAAAATTTTAAAAGTTTTTTTTATAAAAAAAATTTGCTTTATAATTACTATTTTCTTGCATTATTTCTTTTGGCATCGAGCAAGAAGAGCGTGGAATATCAAGAATGCAAACATCTGATGAAGATAATCTTTCCATGAGGTTACAATCAATGAATTTGGCTTCCAATTATTGCAGCTCTTCTTAGAGACTCCTAACATTTATTATCCATACAATCATAATTTTAGAAACTATGATAGATATGGAATTTTAAATCATCTTCATCCGGACATACCACCACCATCTCAGGCTAATGATTGGAGAATTCACAGTTTCTACTTCATAAAAAATATAGTGAAAAGAGATCAACAAACCTTCATATGGCACATTCATAACTATGTTTGACATTATTTAAATAACATGTCATAATACCTATATTGTATGAATCAAGATCTGATTCCGACCATATTTGAGCTTCATAGAACTTCCTTTTGGTATTAAGAAATGTAATATGTATGAATTTTTTTATGTAAAATTTATTTATTTATGTATCTTTTTAATATTGATGATGTTATAAAGTATTAAAAATATGTTCTAACGTAAATTTCTGTCATTTCCATAAATTTTTCTGATATGTCTACTGATATCGATATTTTTCCTATATTTCTGTAAAATTAGAGTACCGTGATACCGATATTTTCATCCAATATTAGAGGGACTATACTTGGCACAACTATTGGAGAGAGAAGGAAAACAGGCCCAGCTCAAGTAAAGAAAGATGCAGTCCATCCGGGCCAAGTTTTTAATTGGGCTTAAGATCAAACAAGTCCAGATATTTATACAAAATTATGTGAATTCCCGAGCTTACAAGAAAGTTCAAAAATAAGGCGCAAAATTTTTTTTCCCGAATGTACCGGAATCTCCCTCACCCTCTTATAAATTCCAATCATGTCCTATTGATTAAGGCAATTCGCAAGAAGAAAAAGAAACCTAACTGGCTTCACAATCAACAAAGCACTTCCAATTAATTCCTTTTTCGTCTCCAATAAATCTTCAATCTTCACAAAAAATGTCGCTAATTCTAAGTTTTTTCAGCGGCTGAAAAAGTAGCAGCATCTTGGAGAAACACCACATGTGAAATTAGTTTAATATACTTTAAGAGTCCAACTTGATCCAAAAAGTTAACCTATAGGGTCTTCGGTGTATATAAATCATTTCACATTCTCATCTACTTTTCATGTGGGACACACACATGCACATTTCTCAACAATCTCTCCTCAAGTGTGTGTTCACCGAGCTCCCCCTCGAACTAAAGTTTATAGTAGCCGGCACATCCAAGCATCACACTCTAAATGGGAGCCAACTCGAGCATGGAAAAGAGAGCCGAAACCATGTGAGTCCACCAAATGATCCACCATCCGCACCTGCGACGGCATCAACTGTGGGAACACCAACTCTCCACGAAAGGCAACGTAGGAACTGCAACAGAGTGTGATCACTTGGCATATATGAACCATCGGCTCTGATACCACTTGTTAGAGAAATACAACATGTGAAATTGACCCAACACACTTTAAGAGCTCAATTTGACTTAAAATGGCCAATTTCGCATTTGGAGTCTCCCTAACATCTTTGACCCCTTCTCCCTTAACATTTGGGGCCCCTTCAAGGACTTTCCCATTCATTTTCCTTCTAAACTTTCTTGGAAAAATTCGGCATTCGCAAGCGCTCAGATCGACCAGAAGGAGACTCCGGAAGCACACGTGTTCCAGGCCAATCTTCCAGGGCAGAAAAAGGAGGAGTGAAGGTGGAGGTGGAGGACGATCACGTGCTCCAGATCAGCGAAGAGAGGGAAGTGGAGAACGAGGACAAGAACGACACCTGGCATCGGATCGAGAGGAGCAGGGGAAGATTCCAGAGAAGGTTTAGGCTGCCGGAAAATGTGAAGATGGATCAGATCAAAGCTTCAATGGAGAATAGAGTTCTCACTGTCACTGTTCCAAAGGCAGAGGTGAAAAAGCCTGATGTTAAAGCCATCGAAATCTTTGGTTGATTTGTCGTAATTGTTGGTTAATTTGTTTATCTGCGATATACATGTGTGAGATAAGATATAATGTCTACACTTAAACATAGAATATTATGCAGAACGACATATGTGTAATAAATAGGTAGTGATGTGGTTTTGCCTGTGTAATTGAAGCTAAATGTTGCAACGCAGCAAGATTATTATTTGGTTATCAATATTATCTTTTCATCTTATTTGTTTTAATATGCATTTATTCGATTCCTTCTAGTCAATTAGACTTCAAAAGGTGGATTCTTTTATTTGGAATGAAAAAAGAAGCAAGATTTTACGATATTGACCTATCAAAATTCAAAACAAGGAAGGCAATTGATACACCAAAAAAGAAAAAATGGAGAAATTTTTCATTGATTAACAGAAAGCACTGACTTGAGGAAGAAAACTGACACACTTAAAAAAAAAAGGAAAAGAAATACCTTCTTACATACTAGTTGATTAACAAGACTCACGACTTGTAATTGTCACAAGATACCAGAAACCGAATAGCTATACATGTAATTCTCTTCTTGTTAATAGAGGTGTACCCGGGCCCAGCGGCCCAACAAAAATTTCAGGCCTGGCCAGTCTAGCCCTAAACGAGAGAAGGTCATTTTAGCCCGGCCCTAAGCCCCAAAAATTTAGGACCGGGCCTGGACCAACAATAGCGAGCTTCAAATTAGCCGGTTTAGCACGGTCTAAACTTACAGCTCTACTTGTTAATAATGTACCTTGTGAATTTCTTACTTATAGTAGTTTTATACGTGATCTATACCATTCATTTTCATTCGGCTTTTGGAATCATATTCACGGGTGATTGAATGTAAAATCCAACAGTTTTGTTTGTTTCATTTCCCCAACATTTTCTTGTACCTTTATAATGGTTTCATGTTCCTTCATCCAAGAATGAAAATATGTGGAAATATTGGTACTTCAGTTTTACAGAAATTTAAAAGAAAATATCATATCGGTGAAAATATTAGAAAATTTTAAAGAGATAAAGATAATTTACTTTAGAATATATTTCTAATATTTATGATAGCGTAAGCATTAAAAAAATACATAAATAAATAAATTTTACATAAAAACCTCACTCAAATATGGTCGGAATCTTATCTTGATTTAAATAATATTGGTATCATGACATGTTATTTGAATAATGTTGAATAAAGTTATGAACATACTACATTTAGGTTTGTTGATCCCAATTTGACACTTCTCACTAGGGAATTGTGAATTCTCTGAATTATTTGCCTGATATGACAGTAGTATGTTTGGATGAAGATAATTGAAAATTTCATACAATATGATTCTATGGATAACAAATGTAACGAGTTTTATTAAAAAAAAAACTGCTATAATTAGATATCAAATACATGCCTATCATATTATAAAGCAAATTTTGAAAAAAAATAGAATTCCACTTTCAAAGTTTCTCCGAAATTTCCCTAATATTTCTCTGAAATTTTTTCAGAATTTCCCGACATTCTACCCAAATTAAACTATAAGTATAACAATATCGATGCTATTTACTGAAACTTCTAATATCTTCTGGACAGTATGACGAAATCAATATTTGGGTGAAAAAAAAACCGGGACCTCTAACAATTCAAAATTTCAGAAATATAAGCGATATTTACGACCATGCCTTCATCAATTGGTTATTTCTCTTTGTTCATATATCTTTTTGCGATAACTCTCCCTCTCTCAAAGAATATCCCAAACACATTACACATCTCTATCTTTTCCTAAATACATATCAACGAATGATGGATCAGCTGTACGTCCTCTCAAACTCAAGCCTTACCGCACCTAACTCGTGTCGTTTTCCTTAAATAAGTTTTCTCTCAAGCGACAAGTTATACGTTTCTTGAACTCTTCTTATTGGTTGACATTCCACTTGTGAGTACCAATTAGTTCGGATATCATTTCAATTTTACAATGATTTAATTGTGTTCAAAAATTAATTTCATTTTCCTGGCAACTTTATACATGAAAGGACCATACAACTCGAACATATCATGTAATATATATGTTTATTCAAAAAAATGAGAGATTCATGTTTATTTCTAACAATCATGCGATATCAATAATTTTGCACGTTTTATTTTCTTTGGAATTCGAGGCGAGAAAATTTGAACTCTATACAAACGGATTTACAGCTAAGATATGCCTGCAGCAACCAATATTTTCTATTTTCGGATATTATATCTGTGGCGCGGATGTACGGTCTTCTAATCAAGCTCATTGCAATCTTTGCTTGATCTCCAAGTAAAAATAAATAATTACAATAATTTAACTTTAAACATTTCTGGACCACATTCACACTGTCCTCTTCTCTTCCTTTTTGTCCCCCCGTTCCTTCCTGCATCTTTAGAGAATTTTATGCATTCACTATTCACAAACTACTTGGAAGCACAAAACTTCACTTTCAATGAATCTCATTATAAAGAAAATAACTTTTCTCTATATATATCCACTATCAGCAAAACTAACCTTCCATAAGCTGGAAAATCCTTGTGTTATTTGTGCGTAACAATAAGAGAGATGGGAGAACAAGCACAGAAAACTCTTCGCTTGGTTCTAGTCCCCTTTCCATATCAGGGCCATATTAGTCCAATGCTTCAGCTTGGCGCGGCTCTTCACTCCAAGGGCTTCTCCATAACAATTGCTCACACCATTTGCAACTCTCCAAATTCCCAAAACCACCCTAATTTCAGCTTCCTTCGCTTATCGGACGGCTTATCCGACACTGATATTGAATCTCGCGGATTAGCCGCTAACTTACTGGCCATTAATGACAATTGCAAAGAGAGCTTTCAATGGTCCTTGGAACAACTGATCATGGAAGACAGAAAGACGATCAGCTGCGTAATATCTGATGAATTGATGTACTTTGCTGAAGATGTTGCTAACAATCTCAAGATTCTGAGCATAATCTTGCGCACAACTAGTGCCATCACTTCCTTGGCTCGCTCTTTCCTTCTTAAACTTGTGGAGGGAGGTCATGTTCCCTTGCAAGGTATGTGTCTTGTAAATGTATGTATGAATGCAAGAGTAAATTGCATTGTTGCACTCCAAATTATTCGGCTTTCGTATAATGGACTCAAATTTTAACTTTGGTAAAATGTGCATTTGGACTTTAATATTAGTAGCAATTGAGGATATTTCGTGAGCTAAATATTAAGAGTTAACTATCTTTGCTAGTAGTAATTGGTTGAAATTAACTTGATTGATGTTATGGAAGGAGTAACACATCCAGAATTTTATCTTTGTAGACCACATATGAGAAGTATTTTTAAATTAAAACAATGAAAAGAAAGTTTAATACTTTTCTATTTAATGTTGATTAGCTTTGAGTTTATTTAGTCTATACGCTGGAAATAGGGAAAACCCAGATATTCTGCTTAAAATAGTAAGAAATTATTATTTATATCAGTTCACTCAAAAAAAAGCAATTGTTATTCAATTAATAAATAGAAAACAAACGATCACAGTAACATCTAATTATTTAAAATGACATAAATAATAAACTACACAATACTGTGGCAAACCATATACTTATTCTCTCTTGAAAATATTCCACATGTGTCTGCCCTTCAAACTTAATTTTAAATGTTATGCTTATAATTTAAAGTGTGAGTTTTTTACTTTGTAATCCATATCCGTCAAAGGGTATTTGTAAATTGATCTTCACTTTATTTTATATTTTCTTTCCTGTAATAAATACAAATCTATATGTGCCAACTTTCTAATTAATGATAATTTTGAAGTCAAATAATTTAAAAACAAAAAAAGAAATTGATAAAAAAAAATTAGAAAAAAAGGTGCGCATGAAGGAAGGAATTGAGAAGAAAAAGAACCAAATGATGGTCGGGGTTTCAAGAAAGGACCAAAAAAAAAAATTTGTAATCTAAATTTTCAGTGTGGGCACATTCAATTAAAAAAATATTAATTGGTGGATGAAAATTAAAGAAGCATATGAATTGAACTGAATTCTTTTTTGAGTAGAAACAGGTATAGGGCCACATCTAACAATATTACTCAGCAGTCAGTACAAAGCAGTTTGTAAGATAACATATTGATGTTAATCCTTATCTCCAATTTATCTTCTGAGTATAAAGAATAGAAGAGAAATTTAGATGTCATGGTACAACTTTTATAGGTATTTGATTTATGACACAATTTCTTTATGATTCGGGCATATCAAGTTTTGTTGATCTTTGAGAAGTCTATTTGCGTGGTACAAATCCGAAGCTCCAATATTCGTCACATCCTCAAAATTGCCTGCATATGTTTAATACCAAAACTCTTGTATTACAGGTTTTGCCTCAGACGAACTTGTGGCGAGACTTCCTCTCCTCAGGTTCAAAGATCTACCCTGTCCCTTAACCGAAAATTTCAAGAGTTTTGCAGTGATAGTTGCCAGGGCATACAACAAGAGGACGTGTTCAGCCATCATATGGAATACCATAAACTGCCTAGAACAATCAACTCTAGATCAAATCCAAAAAGAATCTCAAGTACGAATCTTTGCAATAGGTCCTATGCACAAAATAACCCCATCAATCTCTAGTAGCCTAATCAAAGAGGATAGAAGCTGCATATCATGGCTTGACAAGCAACCCCATAATTCAGTTGTTTACGTAAGTATCTCTGGAAGCATAGCATCTCTCTATGAGAAGGAAGTAACTGAAATGGCGTGGGGACTAGCCAACAGCAAGCAAGCCTTCTTGTGGGCGATCCGACCCGGTTCGATTCGGGGTTCGGATTGGATTGAGTTGTTGCCTAATGGTTTCCAAGATGCTGTTGGGGATAAGGGATGCATTGTGAGTTGGGCACCCCAGAAGGAAGTCTTGGCGCATCCAGCAGTGGGAGGGTTTTGGAGCCATTGTGGTTGGAATTCAACTCTAGAGAGTCTAGCTCAAGGAGTTCCAATGATATGTAAACCATGTTTTGGTGATCAAAGAGTGAATGCAAGGTATGCGAGCCATGTCTGGAAAGTTGGATTGGAATTAGAGGAGGTGGAGAGAGGGGAGATAGCGAGAGTTGTAAGAAGACTGATTTTGTGTGAGGAAGGGAAGGAGATTAGGGCCAGAGCCAAGAAGTTGAAGCAGAAAATTGACGTGTCTACAAGAAAGGGTGGTTCTTCCTATGACTCCTTGAATCAGCTAGCGAACTTTATTTTGTCACTCTAGTTGTGCAAGCAGCGTGTTACAATGGAAGCTCTTGCTTTCTTTTGTTATCATTATTATTTTTCATTATTTTTATAAACTTTTGGGATTGGAAGATTTAAATACTATATACTTTATGGTATCTTATCAATGGGTATGCATGAAACCACAGCGATCAAGAGAAACATAATAAATGAAAGAATTTTTTTTTTTTTCTGAGTATGAGAAACAAAATAAGGAAAAGTCTAATTTTTAAACTCTTGTCATTTTATTACATTGGCGTTATATTATTCAAGTACTTTTTTTCGTATTTATTTTTTATTTTTTGTTGAGCGATTAGAATTTATATAATTTTAACAAATACCTTTTAAAATAATACCATTAAGAATTTTTAAGCCTGACTTATTGAATTTTATCCTTTTTAAATAAATAATTTGATAGATTATTATCTATAATTTAACAAATTTTACTGGCGGCGAGTCTCCAATTACCGATAGCGGACGTAATTTAACAAATAATTATCTAAAATTTAATAAATTATTATCTATAATTTAATAAATTATTATTAAAAGAATAACCAATCAAGCAGAACTCTGTAAGAATGTGTTTAACAGTATTTACAATTATCTCTCAAGAAAATTTCACTGACGGATCCTGTCGAGGCCCAATTTCTAATTTTGCTTTCGAGCCCAACAAGTTCAAGAAAATTCCATAATACATCGGTTAGTTCACGAACTTGCAAGAACTTTCCTCAAACGTCAAATCAATGACGCGCAAAATCGATTTTCCCCGAGAGCACTAGAATCTCCCTCAACCACATATAAATACCAATCAAATCCTCACGGTTCAGGCAACGAGAAGAACAAAGCGGCTCACTCACTAACACAATCAACAAACAAAACACTTTCAAATTCCAGTTTCCTTTTCTTCTTCAATCCTCTTTAGCTAAAATGTCGATCATTCCAAGCTTCTTCGGCGGCCGACGAAGCAGCAGCGTCTTCGACCCCTTCTCACTCGACGTCTGGGACCCCTTCAAGGACTTCTCCGTTCACTTTCCCTCCGAACTTTCTCGGGAAAATTCGGCCTTCGTCAACGCCCGGATCGATTGGAAGGAGACCCCGGAGGCGCACGTGTTTCAGGCCGATCTTCCGGGGCTGAAGAAGGAGGAGGTGAAAGTCGAGGTGGAGGACGATCGCGTGCTTCAGATCAGCGGAGAGAGGAAGGTCGAGAAGGAAGACAAGAACGACACGTGGCATCGTGTGGAGCGGAGCAGCGGAAGATTCCAGAGGAGGTTTAGGCTACCGGAGAATGTGAAGATGGATCAGATCAAAGCGTCCATGGATAATGGAGTTCTCACTGTCACTGTTCCCAAGGAAGAGGTCAAAAAGCCTGATGTTAAAGCCATTGAAATCTCTGGCTGAACCAACTTATATCAAGTTATGGCACTTGTTTAGTTTACTTTGCGCTGTGTCACTGGTTGTGTAGTTCAAGGTCGTGTGAGAACTGATTGTAAGCGTGTGTTTTGTGATATATGTGCTCCATCATATATGCATGTTGCAATGTGAAGTTTTGAGTTGTAAGTTGAATATATGATGAATAAAAGGTGTTAATTAGATCTGCAGTGTTGAACTAGTAGTTTTCCAATCACTTGTTTTTCCCATAGGCAAACAATTTGAGTCTGATTTCTCAGAGTTTGGTGTCGAAAATTTCATAAACTATTTTTCCTCTTTAAAAACGAAACGCCGGAAGATTTTTCGTCTCTTAAAAAAAATATGGAAACCAACATGCGAGCGAAGTGCTCAAAAAATGATAAATTGGATAAGGAATACCAAAAATGTGACGAGTATACTCCAAAGGACTAAGTCTAAAGAAACGACAACATAACAAACACAAAATGGATATGTTTTAACGATAACAAATACATCATTGTCGTCAAACGACAACAAATAGAGAAAGTGACAATATCTTATCTGAACGACGGCATGACAAAGCGGCATGCTAGCAAATCGAAAATGGGATGATCTTTACAACAATGGCAACATCTTATTAAACTGACAAGTCATAACACCCTCCAGAACAACGTAAATTCTTAGTAAACTGAACAACATCGACATCATACGCTCAAACAACGACAATATCTTAGCAAGAAGTCAACATGTAAGGAAAATTACAACCACAGGGAAATATTTTCTGCAATCACAAATGACAGGAAAGTTAAAATCCATAGTTTCACATTTATCTCTTTCCCCTGTAAAAGTTTGGTATTTTTATGCACAACACGAGAACATATAAGAAAAAGTACCACCACATCAAATTTTTTCTGCAATCACAAATGACAGGAAAGCTAAATCTATAGTTACACATTATATTGGTAAGAGTTTTTCGATGTGAAAATAAAAAAAGTTTGTGATACTGAAATGAGTCTCTTGAATGCCATATTCCCAAAAAAAGCTCGAACGACCTTCAACAAAAAAGTACTTGTACCTAAAACCGTTCAATAAAAAAGTACATGTACCTAAAACCGTTCAACAAAAAGGTACATGTACCTCAAACCGACACATGTAAGTAGGTAGAGAATACCTTCACATGTAAAAATTTGGTATGTTTATGCACAAAAAGAGAGCTAAGGAGGACGCCACGTGATATGGATTCCCACCTTCACGGGAAGCGGGTTGTATTAAGTCTACGACTTCCTTCCCATAGGCGCCGTGGGGTCAGGAGTGGTATAATCAGTCCTTGCTTTGGTTCTTACTCTATCGTTCCTGTCGACTCATCCCCCATGGCTAAACTTGTTTTCTTTCTTTTCTTTCAATGCATTAACAATTATTTGTGCTGCATATTTCAATCTTCTTGAGTGCCATATTAGTGATTGCAATAGTGAATTTTTTTTACTTCACAGAGCCTGCAACAGTAGTAGATCCTACAGAGCCGGTTTAAGCATCACTAGAAGAAGCAGTTGATTCGAGTGATAATAGTCTTACCTGAACTTTTCGTAACCCCCTCCCCTTCGGACTCCATATCTCTTTTGATTCTATATATGTGGGCACCTGATATCGATGAGGGTTCACCCCGGTTACAACATTCCTTTGTAGAGCGCATGCAAAAAGGATCTTATAAAGTAGTCCTGGGACATGAGAAGAGAGGTACTCTACCCTAGCCATATGTACTGGGGATGGTGGCAGAGACGAGGTGCGAGAAGTAAGAGTTCTATTGAGAATAAGCAGAAGTACTGACTTGACAAAAATACATGGCAAAGTGCAGCTGAAAACCTATGTCGTGTTTATCTAGTAAAAATTTTATGAGATGACTAGCGGTGAGACTTCCACAAACAAAAGGAAATTTTTTGCAAGCAACTACTCCTACCAGCTCCTTTATTTTTTTTCCCCTTAAATGCAACAAAAGAAGACAACAAAAGAACATAAACTACCATGTAAGACCCTTTACCTTCTACTACAACAACTTATCCTTCCTACTTGACGGCAGTTAAAGAGTGTGATACTGGAATCCAATCTTCTAAGGAGTCTTAATATTATCCTTCTTCGCTTCACTGAACAAGATTCAATCCCGGGACAGGAACGATTAAAGTATCTCATTTCTTAATCGGCAATATTGCAACAACAACAAAAATCCTTAAAAAAAAGCTTAACCTTTGAAAAAGTAAACGATTAATTGCATAACAAAACATTTAAAGCGTACCAGAGGCCCAATGACCAAAAGTTGCATCCAAAACAAACAAGGCAGAAAACAGACTACCTGCCACTACATTCAAGAAAAGTCCTTATGTGAGAAATACAGAGATGAAAACACATTAATACAAGTCAAAGGGCTTAAACATCACATTGAGCATACCAAGTTCAACTCACCCAAGCCATCTGACTATCCTGATACCAACTTTTTACAGATGCCCGACGGCTTAACTCATTCAGATGTTTCCTCTAAGAACTTCATATCTTTGATGTTAGCCTTCAATTTCAACTGCATAACTCCCCTCCAAGAGTCAATGACTCACTCCGTGGTTCAGATGATGAAAAAAGAGGATCACCACGAAAAGATTGGATGCATCATCGATGATAAATACATGTATTGCTATATATGATATGCCAACCTTTTGGATGCATCAACCTTTTGGAACGCCATACGAAGGCTGATGGCGAATGAAGACGGCAAGAAGATGCGGCGGAGAGCAACAAATTTCAGGAATAAGATTAAACTATATATGAGACGAGGTGGGGGTTTTTTTTTTTTTTTTTTTTTTTTCCCCTGCAATTCTCTGAATGACCTGGTCATCCTATCTTATCATTCTCAAATTTCCTGCCTCCTTTTCCATGTATTTCATATTATCCATTTATCTTCAATTCCTGCTTCCTTTTCCATGTAATAGATTTACTTATGCGTACTTCTCCATTAAGGAATTGTCAGAAACTAGACATTCATTATTTGTCTTTGGTTATGTTTGAACCGGGAAAAATTGCCTTAAACACTGGGTCCTACACAGGCTTCCCAGAGGGCATTCAGTCTTTCCAAACTAATTTTCTTCTGTCTCTATATATGCCTTCATTTCCCAAGTTTCTTGCTCACCGAGAAATCTTGAAAGTTTTAGTTGCTGCCTTTTCCAAAGGCAGACACTGAGTTAAGCAAGAGATTTTGGGTGCGTTTGGAATTGATTCCAAAACGTTTTTATTTTCTGTACGAAAATAAAAATGAAAACGTTTTTAGTTTCATTTTTGAATTATTTCTAAAAATGCGTTTGGTAGTTTTATTTAGAGATTGATTTCAGTTTTAAAAAAAACTGAAACTGCGTTTGGTGGTTTAATTTTTGAAAACATGTAATAATATATTAAATAAATAATATTATTAAATATATTAAATAAATAACATTATTAATATATTAAATAAATAATAT